ACCCTGTCTCAAAAAAATATTATAATTGAATTCACTAAGCAACAGAAAAAATATCAACTTTATGCTCAATTTACCTGGCCAACTCCATTTTAAAATTCAGACTTACGGCTCCTATCAAAAACTTCATGTTAACCAAAATACCACCCTTCCAAAAAGCAAAGAATGCTTACTGATCCAGATTTTTCAAGTGTAAGTCTGTGAAAATGCCTTTTACAAATGTAGTAGCCTAAGTAAAAATGCCTAGTATTTCTGAAAAGTTTATTAACAGTCATTTTAACTTCAACGGTGCTAAAAGGTTTCTGACCCTTGAAAAAAAAAAAAGTTTTTATATGCTTTCTAAAAATTAGTCAATTTCAAGGGGGAAAAACATTTTACTGAACTGGAGAGAGAGGACAAGTTTCCACATAGATGCAGTGGGCTAAGTCAAGATGGTTTAGTGCCAAGAGACTGTGTACCAATAGAATACCTTACCTCCTACTCACACAAGAGAGACACACACCTATATTCCAAATGCATCAGCATTCACCTATGTACTACATAATTACATGTATTATCCTTGATACACAAAAGTTCTGTGGACCAGCTTACTTTTCATCCAAGACTGTTGACAGGTAGTAGTAGTGAATCACATATTCTCCTGTCTCATCTGCCTTACAATCAGTGACATGCGCTGCCAACATATCAGGTTAAGAATACAAACTGAGGCTACAGATTTTCTCCTTCCCATGATGCTAAATGCTACCTCCACACAATAGGAAATGGCCAAACTCAGCATCCAAGTAACTGCCCGACCCAAATCTGAAGTAAACCACAGAAACATGATATTTTTGCTTGAATAATATGACATAATTACTATCAAAATGCTGAACATCCTTTACAGGCAAAGTATGCTGATAAATACTAACCAAATTTTTTTTTTAAAAGACTGAGTCTCACTCTGTCACCCAGGTGGGAGTGCAGTGGCACAATCTAGAATCATTGCATCCTCCGCTTCCCGGGTTCAAGTGATTCTCCTGCCTCAGCCGCCCGAGTCACTGGGATTACAGGCACCTGCCACAACACCCAGCTGATTTTTGTATTTTGTATTTTCACCATGTTGGCCAGGATGGTCCCCTGACCTCATGATCCACCTGCCTTGCCCTCCAAAAGTACTGGGATTACAGGCGTGAACCACCGCACCCGGCCACTAACCAAATTTTTTAGGAGTCAGGCATATTTTCAAATATTTGTCTCATAAACCATCAAAATCCCAGAACACCAATAATTACTACAGTACAAACTGCATATCCTAGAATACCTCTATAACCAAAAATACTTTGTCAGACAATGTATCCATATTTACAGTGCTGACTATACGGTCTCCATAGATCAGGCGTCCCCAAACTATGGCCGACGGGCCGCATGCGGCCCCCCGCTGCACTTCAGGAAGGGGCACCTCTTTCATTGGTGGTCAGTGAGAGGAGCACAGTATGTGGCGGCCCTCCAACGGTCTGAGGGACAGTGAACTGGCCCCGTGTAAAAAGTTTGGGGACGCCTGCCATAGACAAATACAGCGTACAGAATTATACCCATTTGGCAGAGGTCTTAAAAATCTAGTTGGAGGCCAGGAAGAGTGGCTCACGCCTGTAATCCCAGCATTCTGGGAGACAGAGGCAGGGAGATCACCAGAGGTCGGGGGTTCGAGACGAGCCTGACCAACATCGAGAAACCCTGTCTCTACTAAACATACAAAATTAGCCAGATGTGGTGGTATGCGCCTGTAATCTCAGCTACCCAGGAAGCTGAGGCAAAAAAAATCACTTGAACCTGGAAGACAGAGGTTGCAGGGAGCCGAGATCGTGCCTGCACTCCAGCCTGGGCAACAAGAGCTAAACTACATTTCAAAAAAAAAAAAAAGAAATCTAGTTGGGAAGCAAAATACAAACATTAAAAGATAAACTGAAATCCAGGCTAGCATATTCTAAGAAAAGAAAGTCTCACACAGGAGAAAACTGAATAGATCTCTTGGGGTTAAAGTCGTCAAAAAAAGCTTCCCCAGAGACAGGACCTCTCTGGGCCCAGAATAGAGTCTCCATTAATACAAGCAGAAGAGGATTTCAAACAGAAAGAATGGCATAAAGAGAGGCCAAGAGGAGAGACTTCACAGGAACAACAAGAAGTTGGTGTGACTAGAATTAAGGATTCACAAAGAAATTAGAGTTAGTACTGGAGAATGGACCAGGGCCAGACGACAGAGAAACTGGACCACCACACCAATAAGCTTGAATTTTATTTTGCCTGTATGAAGGGGTTTTCTCTAAGTCTTTACGTTGTGATGCAAGGAGGGAAGAGTGTTCAAATGTGGAAGATATTATTACCCAAAGCATAAGTAAAGCACAAATATTCCAAATCGAATACCAAATCAATGAAATCAATGAGAGAATAAGTATTCAAAGCCCAGATACAAGAGAGTATTACGAGAAGGGAAGAGGGAAGCGGCAATGCCCAAATAATAAAACTGAATCAAATTAGGCCAGGCACGGTGGCTCATGCCAGTAATCCCAGCACTTTGGGAAGTTGTCTGAGATCAGGAGTTCGAGACCAGCCTAGTCAACATGGTGAAACCCTGTCTCTACTAAAAATACAAAAATTAACAGGGCATAGTGGCATGCACCTGTAATCCCAGCAGCTATTCCAGAGACTGAGGCAGAAGAATCACTTGAACCCAGGAGGTGGGGAAGTTGCAGTGAGCCGAGATCACGCCACAGCACTCCAGCCTGGGCAACAAAGTGAGACTAGACCTCTGCCTCTGGGATGCAAGAGATTCTCTTGCCTCCGCCTCCCGAGTAGCTGAGATTACAGGCACATCCCACCCACCATGCCCAGCTAACTTTTTTGCAGTTTCAGTAGCGATGGGGTTTCACCATATTGGCCAGTCTGGTCTTAAACTCCTGACTGCAGGTGATCCACCTCCCTCAGCCTCCCAAACTGCTAGGATTGCAGGCATGAGCCACTGGGCCGGCAATTTCGTAATTCCCATTTAAAGTTTACATTTATAATAAAGCACATGCGCCCTCACTGTATCAGTTACACATATTAAGCAATTTGCCTCAAATATCATACAACTGGATCATGAGTTCCAAAACTATGTTAATCCTCAGACTTTAAATGTGACATGCCATAACCCCATCCGTGTACAGATATGGATTAAGGCCATGAGCTTAAAATATATTACCATGAATGAGTTCAACATACTAACCCAAGCACATTTCAAGAGTAAATAAATGAGTGTCCCAATGCTCTGAGGCATTAATAAAAGGTGTTGAAATAGCAACAGAAATAAAATCTCTCATGACATTCAAATAACATCCTCCTCAAAAGAGCAAATGTGTCATTACTGTTTTACTACCTCGTAAACCCCCAACAACCCAATAAAAGTTATGAAATTTTAGTATTAAAAAACTGCCTATCTTTAGAACCAAAAGTCAAGACAATTCTAAACTTCCTTAGAAATTTTAGAAAATTACTTCATTTAATTCAAAATAATAACAAGGAGCCAAGATCCAGCTTTACTTTTCCCATAGTTCAGATGACTTTCCCAAGACCCTTGGCAGAAGCCAAGATCAAAATTCCTTGTGGTTTCCCCTGGCTTATGGTTTGTACTCTGAGTCATCCATGTTTGATCAAAACAGGGGTACTGCTGGATGCTGCACAAGTGACAAAGAAGTTAAAACACACAGGTAAAGAAATAACTCAAATTATATAACATGTCCCAGAGTTCAAGATTTCTCTGAGGCCAGGCACGGTGGCTCACGCCTGCAATCCCCACACTTGGGGAGGCCGTGACAGGCGGATCACCTAAGGTCGGGAGTTCGAGACCAGCCTGACAAACATGGAGAAGCCCCGTCTGTACTAAAAATACAAAATCAGCTGAGCAGTGTGGCGCATGCCTGTAATCCCAGCTACTCGGGAGGCTGAGGCAGGAGAATTGCTTGAACCTGGGAAGGCGGAGGTTGCCGTGAGCGGAGATGGCGCCATTGTACTCCTCCAGCCTGGGTAACAAGAGCGAAACTCCGTCTCAAAAAAAAAAAAAAAAAAAAAAGATTTCTCTCCAATTGTGTTCCTAAAACAGTATCTTTGTACATTAGATTTATTAACATCATCATCATAAACATGGTGAAACCAAAATATTGGTAAAGACGGGGCAGCACTTAAACTGACAGTCTACGGAGTTACAGAAGAGGGTAATCAATTGACAGAAATACACAATGCTCAGCAAGAGTTTCAAAACACCAGTGTATCTCAAAGATAATGGGCCGGTTCAAACTTCCAGGCTTAACCTAAACTGCCTGTCTCTTGCGCTAAATGCCAGCATTCACCACAGTTCTTTTGTCTGTGAAATGACCCGCACCAAACCACAGCAGAGAAAATAACAGATCTTGCACTGAACACTCCTTACTGCGAGCAGGAGGGGTAGATGAACCTTTCCACTAGGTCCAGCTCCTCCTCCCCCACCGCTCCGTCGTCCCCCACCTTTATTTTCCTAGAAATGGCAACTGGAGGCCACCGCAGGAGATGGAAAGGAAGCGGCGAGGAACCAGAATACAAGTTTGAAGACCAGCACCAACTTGTGGCGACAGACCCGAGTGTTTACGGCCTATTGCGGAGTGGGAGCGAAACCCCACTCGCCGACCCGTCTCCGGCAGGAAAAGAAGTTGTGGGGAAATCTGGCGGAAGAGCGGCGGCGGGACCGGCACCGGGTCCGGCCGCGGGAGGCCGGCAGTCGGTAAACAAGCTGGGCGGACCCGCCCTCCCACAGCCCCCGGGCAGTCCCCGCACCCGGAGCGCCCAAGATAGAAGCGCCGGCAGCAGCGACCCGGGCCCCTGCCCTCCCAGCGCCTGCAACGCGGCCGCCCCCGGGGTGCCGGGCGGGCGGCCCGGGAGGCCCGGCGACCTGGGCGCAGCCTGGGAGCAAGGGGCCCGGCAGGCCGCGGCGAGGCGCCCCCCCGGGGCCCGGTTACCTGGCGGCGGCGGCTCCTCCTCCAGCTCCTGCTCCTCCTTCCCGTCCGACAGGCGCTCGGCGGCGGCGGCGGCGGCGGCGGCGGTAGCGGCGGCGGCGGCGGCGGCGACTCCCCGCGCAACCCGCGGCGACGAGTCGAGCCCGGCCCCTCTCCGCCTCCCTCCGCGCCGCCGCCCGCCCCGCTGCTGCCGCCTCCGCCCTCTCCCCTCAGTCAGGACATGGTCTCCGCGGGCCTGCGCGCGGCTCCCGGCTGCTGGAGGCGGGGGGAGAGGAGCAGAAAGGAGACGCTGAGACTGGGGAGCCCCGGGGGGCGGGGGCAGCGAGGTACTGGGGGCGGCCGCGGGCGCTGCGGACCCCTAATGGCGGCGGCCGAGGGACCCGGAGCCAAATAAACCCCGCGGCGAGCGGCACAACGTCAAGGCCAGACCCCGCCGCTCGCCGCTCTGTCATTGGCCCTGAGGCCGCCGGCTGTGCAGCCAATGGGCGGCCGCCTCTTTCCGGGCGTAGGGGCGGGTCGAGACTGGGTGACGTCAGCCGGCACGCTGCCCCGATTGTGAGTCGGCGGCCTGGCCTGTTCCCGTCCGCGGCCACCTGCGGGCCTAAGGGTGCCGGACCACGGCGGGGTGCGCATCCCTTGGGGTCGCGGACTGGCGGCGGCCCAGAGGGCATCCTCGGGCGGTGTCTGGATACGCGCTTTGCCTCTACTCTGCGACAGATGCGCCAGGTCAACCCCCAGGTCTCACGTCTCCTAAGTGATCTACGTATAACTCAGATGCTGCTTCACTTTTTCTTAAGGAGTTTGAAGCTCTTGATTCCAGGGAAGACAACGGTCTAGGTGCTTTGCGATGGTTTAATATTTTATTTTATTTTATTTTATTTTATTTTATTTATTTTGGGGGGGTGGAGGACGGAGTTTCGCTCTTGTTGCCCAGGCTGGAGTGCAGTGGCGCGATCTCGGCTCACCGCAACCTCCGCCTCCTGGGTTCGGGCAATTCTCCTGCCTCAGCCTCCTGAGTAGCTGGGATTACAGGCACGCGCCACCATGCCCAGCTAATTTTTTGTATTTTTAGTAGAGACGGGGTTTCACCGTGTTGACCAGGATGGTCTCGATCTCCTGACCTCGTGATCCACCCGCCTCAGCCTCCCAGAGTGCTGGGATTACAGGCTTGAGCCACCGCGCCCGGCGGTTTGATATTTTAAATCTATGTTTTGCAGTGTCCGATTTTTACCCCTGCCTTTACGGGGGCTATCCCGTGTATGGGGGGGGGTGTATTTCTCTTTGCTCTCTGCATGGTACGAGTGTGCGTACGTAGATGGACATGCGAAGAAAAGTCATGGAGACCTTGCCTCGTTGTCCTCCACGACTTCCTGGCTCTAGTCTTGGGAAAATCCAACCTTCTTATGGCTGCCTTTTCTGTAAGTTAGAAATAAGCCGTTCCTAATAAGCCTTATTTCTATAAATAAGGCTTACCTATTTTCAGGCAGAGGATAAATTACAGCTATGGAAAAAATACTGTTTAGGATAGTCCCCTGGGACCATGTTCGAAACAGAATATGTGTATTTCTTTCTTTTTGTACTATAAAAATAACCAAATAACCAAAATAAGCCAGCCATGTGTTCAAACCCGATGAGTATGTGAAATTTTTCTAGGTAGAGGGACTTTACCTTGCAGCTTTCATACTTTAAATTTTATGAGGAAAAGAAATAATTTGAAGGATCATAAAAGCCAGCAACTCTTTAAAAGTTGTAAATTTAGAAGTTATCTGTTAGAAAACCTATACTACTGCCTGCCAAAGGGCATTTAGCAGTTAGATACCTCAGGTCCTGTCATTATTCAGTTTCATCAGATTTTTAAAATTTAAATGGGACTTCATTTAGTAAAACTGTTCATGGTGTTCTGACTTTCTCTTTGCATAAATATTGGTCAAGAATGTGTATACAGCTTCACTATGGCCAGCAAAGAATAATGCTGTATCTTACATAGTTTCCCCTCTCCAACAACATATTTTATTGGCGTTTTTTAATTCTCAAAGCCGATTCTATAATGTGGAGATTTTCGACAATCCTCATCTACCCAGAGCAACATTATTTATTCAAGGACTTGTCAATAAGTTGAGTTTAGAGTGCAAGTCTTTTGCCTGCAAAACTTTACATTCTCAAACATGTAATTAACACAATCGTGGATCAGATCAAACACCATGTTACTATGTTAAGAACAATAGTTCAACCAACATTTCAACTTTGAAAATATTTTCTTTAAGAGCTCCTGAATTCCTCCAACTTCCCCTTCCTGAATCAAGACTGCAGAGCCTCTCAGTTACAAGCTAACAAGAATCACAGAATTCGGTGTTTTTGTTTCACTTGAGTTGTAGTTTGTTTTGGTAAGGAAATCGGATATCACTTGGGTAAAGTTTATTAACTCTTTCCTCCTTTGAGTAAATAGGGAATGTCACGTACCAATGAATAAGAAGCCCATGGAAATAAGACACATCTTAGTGAGGAAACTACAGCATAGAGAAAAAAAGTAAAACAGAAATAACTGAAATTACGTCCGGTCACGGTGGATCACAATTGTAATCCCAGCACTTTGGGAGGCCAAGGCGGGTCAATCGCCTGAAGTCAGGAGTTCGAGACCAACTGGACCAACGTGGTGAAATCCCATCTCTACTAAATATAAAAAATTAGCTAGTGGTGATGCATGCCTGTAATCTCAGCTACTTGGGAGGCTAAGGCAGGAGAATCTCTTGAAAACCGGAAGCAGAGGTTGCAGTGAGCTGAGATTGTGCCATTACACTCCAGCCTGAGCAACAAGAGCAAAACTCCATCTCAAAAAAAAAAAAAGAAAGAAAGAAAGACCTGTAATTATAAGGTAAGGTAGAATGTGCTAAATAAATTCAAGTAAAAATTATCTCATAATTAAGAAGAAGAGCGAATCAAAAATGACTCCACGTTAAAGCCAAAAAGACGTTTGTTATCAGTCCATGATTTAGCCTTGGCTACACATTAGTACCACCTGAGAAGCTTTTAATAAATATAAAGATAGGCCAGGCACAGTGGCTCACACCTGTAATCCCAGCACTTTGGGAAGCCAAGACAGGTGGATCTCCAGAGATCAGGAGTTTGGAGACCAGCTTGGCCAACATGGTGAAACCCCGTTTCTACTAAAAAATACAAAAATTACCTGGGCATGATGGCGTGCACCTGTGGTCCCTGCTACTCGGGAGGCTGAGGCAGGAGAATTGCTTGAGTCCAGGAGGTGGAGGTTGTAGTGAGCCAGGGTGGCAGTACCGCACTACACCCCGGGCAACAGAGCAGGACCCTATCTCAAAAAAAAAAAAAAGGACTTTTATAGTGAACTGTAGAGACTGTATAGTTTTGTTGATAGTTTGTTCTAGCTTTCGGTTGTTCCCAAACTACCTGTAGAGGATATAATTCCATTTTGCAATTTTGTGAAAGTTTTGAATGCAAAATTGTAGATCCGTAGTTCCATTAACAATAGAAAGCCATAAAGAGGTTTTGAGCAGGAAGGTGCCAGTGTTGGAGCTACCCAGCTTTACCTGGAATATCTGTGGGACAAACGGAGGCAGAAGTAGAAATAGGAGGCCAGGCACTGTAGCTCACGCCTGTAATCTCAACAGTTTGGGAGGCTGAGGTGGGCAGATACTGAGGTCAGGAGATCCAGACCATCCTGGCCAACATGGTGAAACCCTGTCTCTGCTAGTAAAGTTCAAAAAAATTTGCTGGGTGTGGTAGTGCACACCTGTAGTCCCATCTACTTGGGAGGCTAAGGCAGGAGAATTGCTTGAACCCAGGAGGCAGAGATTGCAGTGAGACGAGAACACGCCATTCATTGCATTACAGCCTGGGCAACAGTGCAAGACTCGGTCTCAAAAAAACAAAAAAGAAGTAGAAATGGGGGCAGAGAAGAGACAAGGGCCTAAAACCAAAGTAGCGGTGGGAATGGAAAGGAGGGGCGGGAGTGAAACAGGGGAGAGTGGAATCCTCAGGATTTGCCAGTGACTAAATCTGGAGCAGAAGAAAGTCAGAGAATGGGCCAGGAACAATGGCTCATGCCTGTAATCCCTGAACTTTGGAAGACCAAGGTGGAAGGTCATTTGAGGCCAGGAATCTGAGACCAACCTGGGCAACATAGTGAGACCCCATTGCTACAAAAAAAAAATTTTTTTTTAACTGGCCAGGCTCAGTGGCTTACACCTGTTGTCACAGCTACTCAGGAGACTGTGGAGGAAGAATTGCTTGAGCCCAGGAATTCAAGCATGCAGTGAGCTATGATGATGCCACTGCACTCCAGCCTGGGCAACAGACCAAGATCCTGTCTCAAAAAAAACAAAAAAAAGTCAGGGAACTCTTGAGTGATGGCGCTATGTGCAACAGTGGGACACACAAGAGAAGAACTGGGTCAGAGGAGATGTGGACCCCTGAATCAGGACATCCTGGACTCAAGAGGAAGGGAGCGGCTGGTGGGGGAAATGCTGGTCTGAAATGTATAGGGTGCTGCTGGAGATCAACATCAGGCAGCTCTCTATGTAGAATTTCCTATGGAAGCGACAGGAGTGGGGAAGAGAGAGCTGCCAAAGCTGGGGGAAAAGGGCAGAAAGGTAGGAGATGAAGCTGGCAGCACAGTGTTTTGGAAGCCAAGGGTCCAGTGAGCCTCAAGCCCATGGTGATACAAATTGTCAGATGCCGCAAATTTTGAGCATTAGAACTGAGGAAAGGTCACTGGATCTGACAACCAAGAGACTTCATGACCTTCTAGAGAACAGTTCTCAGTAGGATGGCAGGGAGAGAAGCCAAGTTTCAGAGCCTCGTGATTATAAACCACCAGTCCAAGACGTCTGGCAGGGAAAGGAAAGCAGGAGATACAGGAATCGATTTGGGCAATAACAAAAATAAGGGTAAGGTTTTGTTTGCTTTTCTTTTAGGTATTTATCTTAAAGAATGGGTGTATCTGAGCACTTTTGTAAATGGAGGAGAGATGTAGCTGGGGTAAAATGACTGAAATCCAGAAGGGAAGTAAAATTCAGAGCACAGTGATTTGCATTGCAAGCAAGAAAGCCCTATCTTCCTCAGAATTGAGAGGAAGCCATGGGAGCTCTAGGGAGGTTTTGGTGGGAGAGACAGAGGTGATGGAGTGGACTTAAACCCTTTCTCCTCCTCGGTGAATCAAGCACAGTCTCCTCCTGAGGGTTGCTCTGGGAACTGGAGGAGATTGGGGACAATAGTTAGAGGGACACAAACCAAGAAGAATGAAAAAAAGAAAAGAAACCGCTTTCTCCAAAAAGCCTTAGCAGTCCATAATCAGGCCTAGAATAGAAAGGTCAGGTGGTGGAGACCCCAAGGTGGACATTTGCAGCTAAGAGAAGTTGAAGGCTTTCTGCTGAAGGAAATGGTAAGGGGTCCAGCTT